CAAGGATGAGCACTTACCCTCTGTTTTTGTGTTTGGACTTATTTCCCATTTTTGCTTCTGCCATTTCCATTTTTCATTGTGCCTTGACACCTTTCTGAGCAGGCCTGACAGACAGTGTAGGTTGTGTGTCAGCACCCAGGAGGAAGAGCTCTGAGGTCTGGTGAGGAGCCAGGCTYTGGACCCTGGGAGCCCTGGCTGGATCTGGTTTTTCCTCAGGGCTGTTCCTGTAGCTCAGTTGGTGGTTCCAGCTGGTTTAGTTTTGTGCCATCACAAAAAGGGCTTCTAGTGCAGGTGTTGGGAAGGGTTTTAGGAGGGGCTGACAAAGAAAGCTGAAAAGCTTTTCAAGCAAATCCCCACACGCCTAGAGTTAAAATTCTCACCTACAGGTGAGAAGTATAATTTTTAATATAGTGAAAGATAAAAATAAACAGCTCAGGACTGTAGTAGGCAGTGGTCCACCTGGGCCGAGTAAAGCCATAGCAGTTCATTGGATAGTGAGGGAATAARCAGGTATTTTGCAGTGTCTGTGAAGTGTTGCAGAAGTTCTCTTGACTCAATCAGCACAGGCCAAGGTCTGACCTGCACTAACATGTGCATTCCTGAGATGTGGAATGGGGCACTGGGGCTTGGGGCACCCTCTGGTTGAAATGCCAGCCCTGTCTCTGGTGGGAATCCCAAATATGCTGTCATCATGGTTAATAATSTGTCTCCTGCCAGCATCCCAAAACACTCTGAAAGATGAAAGCTCTGCTTGTATCTTACTTGTAACTTGTAACTAAGTCTTGTATCTTAGCCCCTTCAGGCAAACTTTTAGGTATTTTAATGACTATGTCCTTGTTTTGTGCTGTCTTTCATTTGTAGTGCCAATCTTTTTGATCCTATAGATAACTGGGAGAAAATAACTCATAAAGAAAGTTTTTCACCAAAAAGTAAATAACAAACACCCTTTGACATTGAAAAGAAGGGAGGAAAAGCACTGGCTGCGGAATTGGGAGGACTCAAATGCCTATTTATATTTAAAATTTAAAGAAATGTGGTTTATGTTCTATATATTTAATGGTGTAATATGAATTCAGGTGARCCATTGTCTTTTTCCTCAGATCAGGAAATGAGAACAGAGACTGAATTCCCACTTCAGCAGATGTTTATCTCTGTTCTTAACCAATGTAGCTGTATAATGATTTTTTGTGATGATCTGAGAGATCTTATGAGATTAGGGCTATTAAGAGCAATTGTTCAGCTCTTTCATCTGCAGTGACAAGGTTGAAGAGAGGGCTCAAAGAYTCAAGGAATAGAAAGCTGATGAGAATCCAGAATTGGGAAATAGATGCTTGATTAGTTTAGGAGGTGCTTTTTAGTTGTTTTTACAGTTGAGGGTAGGTGAAGTTACTGACAGTCTTATTTATGCTTTTGCAGATTTTCAGATTTCTTCCAGAGGGAATGGGAGGCAGAATCTTGCATAGGAATTTCCTGAAAATTTGTTGGTTTGTATTACGAAACATGCAGACTTTCTGGTTTCGCTGACTTTCTCATAGGCAGCAAGAGTAAAATTGCAGTGTTATTTTATGGGGGGTTGGGTATTACCAAAATAAAYAGGAGTTTCTTTACATTGTCAGCATTGAGTTGCCTGGAAACTTCTTGGAATTTGGGGTTTGTTTGGTTTTTTTACAGCACATAAAAAAGACCTACTCAGTTACATGAGGCCCTGAAGGTCTGCTGGCCACACAGGGACCATTTAAGCCAAACAGACTTTGCCAAAGTTAGAAACTTCTTGTTGCTAAAGGTCCAGATTAATTCTTTGTTGAGATGAGATTGACACAGTCAGACAGGCTAATTTGATCGGCAAGAAGAAGGATAAGGAGAACTACATTGGTGTAGCAAATCTGTTCTTATTACTAAAAATTGATTTTGACCTTTGTAGAGATACTAATTTCACCTCCTATTAAACGAAAACTTGGGATGATTGCTCCAGGTCTGGCATACAAGACTTGAAAAATTCATCAGCTATCTTCATCTATTTTGACATGTTTTTTGGCCTTCTTCTGAGTTTTGTATTTCCTTTTTTTCTAYGTATTTGCTTGCAGGCAGTGGTGCGTGTTTGTTTGAATCCTCACTGTCTTGGCAGCTGAGTAGTATTGCCCACAGGTCCCAGTATTGTTTTTCATTCCTATATAATGAGACTCAAATAATAAAAATGAGACAATAATCATAAATGAGACTCCAATAATAAAAATGCTTTTCCTGTTCTGTAATCTGTTGGGCTTGCTTGCTGTTCTTTTCTATAAAACTTAGCTTTTTTCCTGGGTTTTATTAATTCTTAGGTTAGAACATCTTTTTAAATTACCATGTCTATTTTCACTACTACAGTGCCTTTGGCTCCTGTCATTAGGATGGCTTAGTGATGAGTTGAGAAAATAGCTCCCATGACTTTGACAACAAGGTCTTTATAGAAATCTTATTCTCATAAAGTAACTAATTTGCAGAGTCATTCCAGGCAGGAGAATGATCCACCCCCCAACCCACATTCAAGAGTCAAGCAGAATGTCTGGACTATGCTCAGTTGTCCCACGTCAGGTCCAGGTGGGTTTTCTGGGACAGAATTTCTTCTGTTGGTGTTGTATGTTGAGGGTAGCAGAATCTCTTTTAATTACTATCTGAGACAGACATTGTTTCACGTGATGCTGGGGAAGAGCCTCTAAACAGATGGGTAGAATTCATGCAGGGGTTCAGACCAAAACTAATTCATTTAATTGAAAAATTAGAAGTCACTGCCCTGTTGAGTGGGCATGAATTAAAAGRTAATTGCTCCAGTGTGCACAYTGCCTTGCCCAGGTTTTGTATAGTRAAGAACTAAACAGATTTTCTCTGAAATCTTTMTTTCTTCTGAAACTGTTTGCTGTGTAGTACATACTAAAAATGGGGATTGGGTTTGTTCCATTATTTGCTTAATTATTCTTAAGTAAACTCTGGATATAAAAAATATGGAAAAAATATATCTGACCTGCCCAGTTGTRTATGCTGGCTTGGTTTGCATCAATATTTGGAAGAGGAAAGAAGAGAGTAACAGAATTCAGTCCAGTGGATTCCCAAAGCCATCTGCTCCTCTCCTCACAGCCATTAGATGTTTACAGCACAACAGCATGAACATGGAGCATCTTCCCTTCCTTCAGGACAGCATTGGCTGTCTTTAAAGTGAGGATAAAATGAAGGCAGGACATGTTGGAAGCAGCCACAAACTTCCATTGATTTGCAGCCTGGCTTACACTTATTACTTCTCAAAAAGCCAGGCAATCCCCAGGCCTCCTGGAAAGTCATTTATTGTGGGGTGATGCTGAGCTGCTGTCACAGAGTGCACCTAAGGAACTGGAGATCCTTCAGGGGCAGGATTACAGTTCATCAGGGCTGGCTTAACCCAGCAGGCTGTATCTCTATGGTTGGACAGAGCCCAAAGAGGCAGTATAAAAATAATAAATTTTTAATATCTGGAAGACAGAATGCTTAATGAATAAATAATAAGTTGCAGCACTTTCCTTTTCTTAGGAAAAAAAAAAAACCAGACTGGCTGTATTTTTTTTTATTTTCCTTCATTAAGCATTCTCCTGTTGCTCTTTTTAAGTATCCTGAGGTGCTGAAACTTGGGATTGATTTTACAGAAACTAAGGATGCCACTGCCATGCAGGCTGAGAGAAGGACTAGAGATTATTCTGGAAAGAGCTTTTGTTGATTTTGCTAGTGGAGAGGGAGGTGTGGAAGAGCTGAGTGATTGCACAGCTGCTTCCAGCAGCATCTCCCTGGTAATGTTGCAGAGGAGATCCCACTGTGTGCCTGCAGAGACAGGGGCACAGAGACAGGGACAGGAATGTTCTCATCCTCGGGTTAACAAAACCTGGCTGTCTCCCAAGTCTCATACCTGTGTTTTGTGACAGCATGAGCCACTGGAAGCTTTTCAAACAAGCACAGATAGCCTGCAGTTTAAAAGAAGATTGGGGTGGATTTTATCACTAGCTGCCACCACTGTGCTGACAAAGATCCAGTCCTTGACCTCAGGCAGGGTCCAGTTGGGCAGCGCTAAGCCCTTTGGAAAGTCCAGCCGAGAAACACATTTGGAGATGGCCTTGTGTTTGAAGCAATGGTTTCTCTGCAGTCCTGGCAGGATTTCAACCTGGATAACTCTGTTCTACCTGCTTAAAATCCCTCCTCCACATTTCCCTGGCTGTGGCATGAACTCCTCCTGTTTTGCAATGCTGCAATGTTTCCCTTCCAGTTTCATACCACCTACTTGGAAATTGATTTCTAGGTCATCTGTACTCCCATTTATTAGTCTGGCTTCCTTGTAATTATTTCAAGGGATGTAAATGTGAGAGCAGTGAATATGTGCACAGCCCTGGTGTGCAGAACCTTCTCCTGGTGTTTATCTGCATCACCAGGTGGGTTGTGATCACTCCATATTCCTTTTACCACTGAGTWAAGAGTTGATCCCTGTTAGTCTGAACTGACCTGTTGCTCCCTGTGGCTGTRTCCTTGGTGGTGGAGCTAGAAGGGCTGTCCTTGAGAAGGAGGGAGAATGGTGCTCACTGAAGATGTGGGACCCACTCAGACCTAGGGATCTGTTCTCCACATAAGCATTTCCTTCCACAGATGGTTTGCTAGAAAACATTATCACCGTGATTTTATTTTGTGACCTCAAACTTACTCACAAAGTCTGTACTTCTTTCACTTTTTTTTTTTTTTCCTCCCTCTTGACATGTCAGTATTTTCATTCATGTATTAGCAACAGAGGAGCTGTCATTGCTTTGTCCCTAGTATTGTTTTCCCCATCCAGATTTCAGATTTGGGAGATCCTTGAAATCTGTGTCTTTTCTGTGACTTTCAGGTAGAATTGGGTGCTTCACTTTCCCCTTTGCCTGCAAGTGTTTCTCTTCATGTTATAAAATCAATTARTTCTGAGTACTTTTTCTTAAATCTGACTGCTGCTGACACTGTGTTTGTTTCATTAACAGATTAACTTCACCTGTCGCCGACAGCCTGCCCAGCAAGAAAACTCCAAGGAGAAGCTGGACACAAACAACATCTCAAAGACAGTCCATGGGGACTGTGCCCGATCCTCTGAGATCTGCCAAGCTTTCCCTGGTCTCAGCTTCTGCAGAGGAGGAGAACCTGCAGCCTGCTAAGCATCAGCCCCAGCCAGCCAGTGGCCAGAGTGCCAGCAATGGCTTCTCGTGCCCACCGCCCAGCTCAGCTGGGGTTTGTGTGTTCGACCTGAGCTGCACAGGTGCTGCCAGCACGCAGGGGTGYGAGCAGTGTCACACAGACCATGACAGCCAGCAGGAAGCTTTCCCTCCCAGGCTGGCCAGYGCAGCTGCAGAGGGGCATCCTGCAGATGTGAAGCCTGCTGCTTGTTCCCAGCCAGCAGGCATCCAGGCACCGGCAGCACCAGCCCTCGCCACAGCAGGAGCCCTCCCAGTGGGGCGAGGGCCAGACATGATGCCAGCCCCACAGAGCTCCCGGCAGTTYGTGCAAGGCAGCCAGGCCAAAACCAGCTCCCTGACACAGATAGATGACTCTGCCTTGAAACCTCAGGGGACTGATGATCAGCCAGCRCTCGAAGTGTTAAATTATTCTTCCCCGGGTGATGCTGTCGGGGTTAATCAGTTCTGTCATACTTCTCAGGCAAACCTTCTGCAAAGAGGGGAAAAAGACAGGGCAGCAGAAAAAAATGGTTCCGCCTTATGTCAGCCAGCCTCKCCAGCAAGGCAGACTGAAGCTGGCCTGGGGAGGGACCCACAGACCAGTGTGGAGGTGAAAAGTGGGGCCACAGACGTGGCACAGGTGCATCCCCCAGATAAAACTGAAGCGGMAAAGAAGAGCGAGGCGCCGGCCCAGTCTGGCCACGAGAGTCCACGTCCTGTGCACAGCCCAGACCCCACGCCTGGAACTCCAAACCCCACCCAGCTCTCCAAATTCAGAGAAACAGGTACAATGACRGCTCAGCCAGGGAGCAGCCCTTTCACTCAGGAAGCTGTAAGCAGGACATGGCGGGATGCTGAGGTCCAGGCTGTAGCTACTGTGGAGAGCAAATCGGCTTCCACCAGTCCCAGCATCTTTGCTGCCTTCTTAAAAGGGAATCCTCCTCCAGAGGAGAAGGAAGAACTGCACATAATTTACCAAGGAGGTATGGGGCTGAGCCAGGCTGCACTTCCTGACAGTTTATCCTCACAACAAAAGTTCCCGTGTTCTCCTGGTATCGCGTCAAAATCGACTGGTGCGGCTGTGAGTGCTTCAGCCCAAACCCAACCTGCCAAACCGCCTGCRGTCCCATCTGACAGGGTGTCTCCAGTACCAGCAGATAATGCAAAACCTGCAGCTGTCACCTCCCAGGGAGCAGCTGTGGGTGATGCTGAAGCAAGTCGTGATGTCAAAGATGCTTCTCAGCYGCCGACGGATGCTCCAGCCCCTCCAAAGCCCATCACTGTCGAGCAGCTCGACGTTGACTCCAGCAATCAAACTCTCTCACAGGCTGGGACTGGTGCTGGTGAGACAATTCCCCCTTCCACCAGCACTGTCCCAGGAACCGGGAATGACATGCGAGATCTCGTTCCTCAGGCGGGAAGCAGCCGCTCGCCTTCGCCCTGTGCCGCGGGCAGTGAGGGCAAGGGGAAGGAGCTCCTGGAGCCAAAGCCGGAGCATGGCAAGGGCGCGAGCCGAGGGGAGGCCAGTCCTCATCAATCTGCGCTAAAACCAAAGGAGGAGAACATGGCGGTGCTCGATCCTAAAGGAGAGGTGAAGGTTAGCAGCCAGCCCGGCCCTGTCCGTGCCAAGGCGCGCTCAGAGGGTGCTGGTGAGCAGCAGAGTGGAGGCCACAGAGACAGTGGCCAGTCTGAGGTGGCTGGTGGCCAGAGCCTGCAGGCCGGACTGACACCCACGCTGAGTGTGAGCTCTGTGGGTCTCGCCCCTCCCGTGACAGCGATGGCAGCTCCCCAGCAGCAGAGCCTCCAGCCCAGGGAGTGCAGGCCCGAGCTTCACCCTGCAGCAACTCCTGCTGCCCCTCAGGCTGYGCCTGACAACAAAAAGCACTCCACCCCAGCCATGGAGGCCAAAGTACAGGTGAAGCAGTCCAAACACGTCAGGGATGTTGTTTGGGACGAGCAGGGAATGACGTGGGAGGTTTATGGTGCTTCCCTCGATCCAGAGTCCCTGGGAATTGCCATCCAGAACCACTTACAGAGACAAATACGGGAACACGAGAAACTGATCCGGGCCCAGAACAATCAGACCCGGAAATCCATTTCCTCGGATACATCCTCAAATAAAAAACTGAAAGGGAGGCAGCACAACGTGTTCCAGTCCATGCTGCAGAATTTTAGGCGTCCTAATTGCTGTGTCCGACCTGCTCCCTCGTCTGTGTTAGACTGACATGGTTTGTAGGGGTTCCTAAATACCTGCAGTGGGGGAGAGGATCCCTCCCCTCGAGTCCTGCTGTTTGGTTGTGTAACTGGGGTTGTGATGCAGCAACAGTGGAGAATTATTCCCCTTTGTTTTCTGACTGGCCACATGCTCCATCCTGCCATTATTATTGTCACAGCTGGTGTGTTTCCACGTTATGGCCCAACCTTGACTGCTGTCAGATGAAAAGCTAGGCACTTAGCAAAAGCACAAAATTTCAATTGCCACCTTGCTGCGGGGAGAGCAGCACCTTCTGAAAAAGCAGGAAGCAGAGAGATTGTCAGAATTGTGGGAATTTATTTGTGTGCATTATGAGGTCTCACTCAAAGGGGTGGACTGGGGGAAGCTGAGGGAGGTGGAATTAAAGTGCAACAGCTGTAAAGACCTATCACAAGACAACTTTTCTGGTTTGTAATAACCCATACTGAGGCAAGTCTATGAACAGGCTGTGGACACTGATCCCTGAGCACCCTCGCTTCTGTTGAAACTGTGGGTCACTGTTTTCAGGGGAGCCCCAGGAGCCTGGTCTTCCCCTTCTGCTGAAATGCAGAACCAGGCAAAGATTGAGGATCAAGACCAAAGGATTCTGTCTTTGGGAGAAGCTAAGTCAGTTGATGGCCAGAAGGGGAGGTGAGAGAGATGTTTTTTGTGCCCTGCATTGGCCCCTCTTAAGGTCTACGCCAGCGAGGCACAGGAGAGCACATCTGTAGATGGTCCTTTAGCCAGCAGGATGGTGCCCACCCTTACCCTCTGATGCTCCTGCCACGTCTGTAAAAAGCAGGGAGCCGTTCTGGCTCCTCAGGCAGGGCAGGCAGCCCCTGCTCCCCGCCTCCTGTGGCACTGAGCACCTCTCCTGTGAATCACTCCTTAAAGGGGTGTGGGTCTTTCTCTCCAGAAGTGCACAGCAATGTTTTCCCATAGCAGCAGGCTTTCCTGTGCATTTGGGTCCATGAGCCTCTATGTCTAGTGTTACACTGATTTTTTTCCCCCTTTTAAATCCTTAGCCAACTCTACTGGKTTTTTTTCAGTGTTTTGGTGCTTTTCTTGCTGCCTTTCACAACCYGAATACCATTTATTTAGCCTGTGCATATTTTGTTTTACCTTACACTCTATATTATAAACCATTATACTGTTAACTTGAAAAATTTGCAGCAGTACTGAAATCTTGAGACAATCTTTGCTGTATTTCTGAACTTAGTTGTAGAAACTGCTAATAAAAGGTAGCTTAGTGACTGTTTCTCCAGAAGTATGATATAAAATAATGTCTCAAATATATGTTGGTCGCRTTTCTCAATAATATTTTTCAACCTGGGCAATGTGTTTCCCGATAGCTTTGTATTCTGTCCACTAGAGTTCATTATGGGAGGCTGGGGAACTCCTGCAGTTTGTAGAAAATTTAGTTATCAATCCTGCAAAGCACTGACGATTTGGACATTGTAATCCTGCAGAGTACTAGAGTTAAGTAGGAGATACTTTTAGTCCGTTAAAGATTTTTCATGAATCATGATGATAATTTATTTCTGTCTCTAGTACCAGGCACCTGATTTACTCTGTAGATCCTACTCTTACAACTTTAAATCTTGSAGGTTTACACAGTGTAAATGAGTATTAGTATCTTCTTTTTTTTTTTTTTCTGTAAAGTGAACGTGAGGTGGCCCCCATTTATTTCAGAGGCCAGACTTCCTGAGTACATCTACTGCCAACCTTTCATATTAGCTGTTTGGGGGCAATTTTTCCCCAGCAGAAAAGTAAAATACTGTAAGATAGAACATTTTAACCCAGTTCAATGAAAAGTGTTGCCCCTAAGCATAGTACTGAATTGGCTCCTAGTTTTCCTCAGTGATGTACCAGGGGCTTTATGTCACATCCTTGTTCAATTTCTGTGTGTTATTTCAAGTCCTCTCCTTCTTGTGGTGCTGAATTTTTTAAATTCCAAACCACCACATTAGAGAGTGTCTTCCCACCTCTGCCTACCAGGAGGAAAGTCTCCAGCCTTTTTTCTGTTTGTGCTGCTGTTTCCATCCCCTCCCTAGCAGTGTCTGAGATGTGAGTTTCATGTGAAGTTTTGTGTGGGATTAATATTGACAGTATCATTAGGTCAGGCTAGTTGACAAGTGCAGTGTCTCTTTCCACATTGTGTCCATGTCAGCCCTGACGAGGTTCCCTGAGCTGTCTGTAGTTTTTGCTGTGTCCTGTCCAGGTCCAAGGCTGTGTGCTGCTCCTTTTGCCTCCCTTCTGCCCTTTCCCTCGCTAGCTGTTGCCCAGCCTGTCTTCCTGTGAAGCCGTGTCCCTTGGCTCAGCTCACGTGTCCCTCTGCGTCCCCCTTGCTGTAGCTGTGAGCCAGCRTACTCTGAACTGTCCCTTTACAAATATGCTCAGTCTGAATATACAAATGGATTGTCCTATTTTTTTTTCCAGAGGAGAATAAACTGCTATCACTCATTCAGTGATCTTCATGAATTTTATCCTTCAGCTTCAGCTCTGCAAAATATTTCTAGCATATAGGTATGAGTTGTTTTATTGAGACAGAACTGGGCTTGGCAGTGAATGAGCAGGTTGCTGGGCCAGCAGTGCTTCTTTGCAAGGAATCTCCCCTGGTTCCTTGCAGCTTCAGCTGTGAGTCTTCAGTAGTCAGTTCACCCTCCCTTCCTCACACCAAATGACCTTTCTTCTAGGAAAATTTCATCAGTGYGTTCGTGCCACAAAGCACCGGTGAACAAATTACTGAGTGGATGCATCTGAATGACTGCATGGGCATAACTAAAAAAAAGGATAGTGCTCAGCCTGCATTCTGGGCAAATACCAGTACAAAGATGCAAATTGTCCCTGGCAGTGTCTGATGGGTGCAGAAGTCCTGCAGACGTGTGTTGGAAGCCAAGCAATAAAGTGCCAAAAGCCAACACATAAAAATGAGTTGATAATCACCAGCACATCTCATGGAAAATAYTTTAGGTTTTGACCGTGCCTTGCTGGGGCAGACTGTAGGCACCCTGCTAGTTTAACAGTGGTGATTAGTGCTTTCTCCTGCATACCATGGCCAGCTGACAATGTGAATCCTCAGTGAGGACACATCTTTCACCAACAGCAAACCAGAGCCATGTTGGGGGTAGCAATTAGCAAATGTTATACATGTGAGCGGGCTTGTAGCAGCCAAGGATGGCTCTTGTTGGTGTCTTGTCAGTCTCATTAATGGAAATGTGCTTGGAGTAGTGATATGGCAGAGACTGGGGGAGATTGTCTGTGTGCCTCCACCCCATTTTTCTTTGCCCARTGACTCAGAATCACATTGCATTAGTTGGATGGGTAACAACCAAGGAAATCCATTTGGGCTGATAAAAAGAGAGTTCAAAATAGAAAGTACTTTGTCATTCCTAAGAGCGCATCTATATGAAAAAAGGCAAAAATACGTGTGTTGCAGCCTAACCAGTTGAACTAACTCTTACATTCATTTCTTTGCAAGATGAGAGATTTTGGGAAACAAGCTAATTGTCAGGAAACTCTTCCCTGTCAGTTGCATCTTCTAGGAGGGTCGATGTAGCAAGAACCATTAATAAAAGCAGTGAGTAAGAATGGAGATTTACTTCTAGTCTCACTTAAAGGGCTTTCCATTAGGAAAGATGAGAATAAGCACATTTCAGTGTTGCCCATACAATACCTGAGCTGAAGGAACATCACATTGCAGGCAATTGGCAATACATGTGAGGCTGTGACATCCGTCTGTGTGCATTTGATTGGGATCTGACAGCTTTGTGTTGTTAGGGCACAAGTGCTGAAGTTGTGCCTCATTTCTGCTGACTTGGTTTAGAAAAAAAAAAAAAAAAGAGTGGGGAAAGAGCTGAAGGGACGAGAAGGGGAATATCAGTCTTCTCCATTTCAGGAGAAGAAAACATGTTTTTGAATAYAGAAGAAGAAATTGCTGAGAAACAGGGGGAGGGAAGGACCAAAAGAGAAGTAAAATAAAGTTGGTGTAGGTGCTTCACAACGAATTCTCATTCCTACATCTGTAAAACCAGAGTTTTGCTCAAGCTTTACCCACTTGTTTTCTGACCTCACATATTTTTTTATTTGTTGGCATCAGATGTCTTTTAGGAAAATGAATGTTTCTAAAGGCTGTATATTTTGCTARTATTTGTAGATATATCCAAGTAGGATTCAGCAAAACCTCTAAGCAGTCAAACTCAGTTTATTACTACTACTAAAACATAAGAGCTTGCGAAATGCACCATTTGAAGAAGTATATTGCAGGGATTCAAAAAGGTGAATATGTCCTCTAAAGATAGCACTACCTTTTCTCTGTTGAAGTGTTAAAGTTAGAAGTRGAAATCAAATGAAAGCTAGTGTTGATGAAGAATTCAAATTAGGTGCCACTGGTTTTCAGTTTGGAAGCTTGATGGAATCTACAATACTAATGTTTCATTAGTTAGCTCAGTATATGCAAGGTTTGTATAAAGGTACAAATTATATTAACTTATTAGCTTCATTATCTTGTTGTGTTTATCCTTCTACACCTTTTAAAAACCAATGCCAAATGTTACCACAACAGATTAACTCTTTTGCCCACAGCTTGTGGGAATGGCTGCTCTGAATGAGAGACCATGGATTGTCAGGCTCCATGGGCTTAGAAATTTAAGGGCTGGGGTCTGAGGGAAGCTCTTCCCTCCTTTTCCCCAATTCCCTGTTCTAGTAACCAGTCTCTGCTGGTTTATCTTTTTGGTGTCTCTGTGATGCCTGTAGGAGTAGTCAATATTTTCATTTGTGTGAAAGACATGCATGTAGATCCTTATCCAAACACTGCACACTACCAAATATCTGTGGTCCGTGGACCTGAAAGTCAAGTTCTGTAACTTGAACTGACCGCAATATTCTCTTAGGGGCCTAAATTATCCCACTTGAGTCAATGTAGATGTTTAAAAGAAAGCTTGAAGTATTACAGCTGAATTGAGCCTGGGTTTTTTTGTTTTTTTGTTTTTTTTT